AACATCCCAGTGGCTCTTTTTGTTTTTGGCAGGAAGAGAAATTCATATGGAATTAAAAGGGACTCCAAATATTCAGAACAAGCTTTAAAAAAAAAAAAAACAACAAGGCTAGAGGACTCACATGTCCTAATTTCAAAACTTGACACACAGTTACAGCAACAGAAACAATGTAGCAATGGCATAAGGACACACCTTGGGTGGATGGTGTGGAATTTATAGTCTACTAGTAAACCACATAATTGATAATCATCAAGGGCACAGTATGTTTCAATGGGGTGAAGTTTTTTCAGCAATGGTGCTCAGAAAAATGGATATCCACATACAAAACAATGAAGTTGGACCCCTACCTCACACCACATACAGAAATTAAATGAAATTGGATCACAGAAACGTAAAAGCTAAAACTACAAAACTTAAAATCAAACTTCATCAAAATTAGACTTTGGGGCATCAGAGGACACTAAGAAAGTGAAAACAGCCCACAGGTGAGAGAGACACCTGCAGGGCATATAAATAAGGGTCCAGTATCCAGAATTCAGAAGGAACTCCCACAATTCAACAACAAAAAGGCGAAACAATTTTTAGTTTGCCAATTTTAAAAATGGGCAAAGGACTGAAACAGAAACTTCTTCAAGGAAGATATACAAATGGCCAACATAGTATCCCTAGTGTCCCTAGTAGCTGGGAGATATACAAATGGCCAGCATGAAATAATGCTCAATACTGTGTCATTAGGAAATGCAAATCAAAACCACAATGAGCTATTGTACATCCACAAGGGTGAGCATAATGTTTTTAGAAAGGGAAGAGGGGCTTAGGGAAGACGGGAGTGGGGAGCACAGGGACAGCCTCAGCTGTGACTGTCACACTTTAGAACTGTTACACTTTAGAACTGACTGTACTTTTGTTATTCACATGGTTTAAGAGACCATTTCAGAAAAAGCAATTAGTAGTCTGAAAGCTAGTATTAATGTGACTTCAGTTTGTAAATAATTTTAATACATAATTTAAGAGACTAATGCATCTGAAAGAATTAGTTTACTGTTTTTTTAAATTGAGACAGTGTTTCAACTATGTAGCCCTGGGTAGAGTGCCGTAGTGTCACAGCTCACAGCAACCTCCAACTCTTGGGCTCAAGCAGTTCTCTTGTTTCAGCCTCCCTAGTAGCTGGGACGACAGGCGCC